AAGATTATTTATCTGATCATGTGTAAAACCCATGGCCCTGAAGCAGCTGAAATTTATAGATCTTTGCAAGCAATTTGTTCAAAACTGGTAAAAGTAATTTGTCTCAGTCTTGATAGTCTACTGGGCAGAGGGGATAAACAAGCTGGAGAAACTAGAAAAAGGAATTGTGTTTGATGTGGAATTGGGGAAATAAAAAAAATAGTTAAAAGAATAACCTGGCTCAAAACATGCAACTTTTCACAGCAACCTTAAGTTTTCTATTGATTTTGAGAGAAGGTAATCAAATGTTAGAAAGTCTTACTTTTGAGACACGTGCCGTACTGTACTGAGGGTCCAATCTTGGTCGGTCACCAGGACCAGCAGTTTTGTCTTCCTAGTGTTTGGACTCGTACTGGGAACTTCTCTCTAGCCGTGTGTTCTCTATTGAGTGTTTAACTTTGGAAGCAAGTTTGTTTCTTCTACTAGCCTTGAGGATTGCAGATTGCTAACTAGTCAGGCCTCATTCATACTTTACTTTGAAGAGCCATTGCATATCTTAATATGAAACAATGTTATTGTTTGATTTTTTTTAAAATGTATATTCTCCCTTTATTATTTTTATAAATAATTCAAGGTGGTGAATATATCCAATCCTCCTACTTTCACCACAACAACATATCTCTGAGTGAGTTAGGCTGAGAGAGGCCCAAAGTCATCCATCTGGCTTTTACTTGTTGCTTCCATTTCTACTCTCTGGGTAAAACATGAGACAGAATGATAGCAGTGTTCCAGTATCTCAGGGGCTGCCACAAAGAAGAGGGAGTCAAGCTATTCTCCAAGGCGCCTGAAGGCAGGACAAGAAGCAATGGATGGAAACTAATCAAGGAGAGAAGCAACTTAGAACTAAGGAGAAACTTCCTGACAGTTAGAACAATTAACCAATGGAACAACCTGCCTCCAGAAGCGGTGAATGCTCCAACACTGGAGGTTTTTAAGAAGAGACTGGACAGCCATTTGTCTGAAATGTTGTAGGGTTCCTGCCTGAGCAGGGGGTTGGACTCGATGACCTCCATGGTCCCTTCCAACTTTATTATTATTATTATTATTATTATTATTATTATTATTATTATTATTATTATTATTATTATTATTATTATTATTATTATTATTATTATTATTATTATTATTATTATTATTAGTCAAGTGCAGTTTCATGCATCACTGAATAACACTTTTTCTAATACCAGAACTGTTAGACACCAGAATGGCAAAATGTTTCTAACAGTGGCACTGCATTGGTAGAATTCATAGAAGCCTGCTAGGCATCAACATAGCTTTCTCATTTGATACCAGCAAAACATGCTATTCTTCCCAATCTTATTTCTTCTCTTTTAATATTTTGTTCTACAATTCATCATTCTTGGTCTTTTTGTAACCATCTGATCAATGGTATATTGCCTTTATTTTGATTTAAAAAATACTGAGATATTTTGTTCCAGAAGTAAACACATTTGTAGTAACATATGAATTGAGATGTTTACATTCATACATAGAATATGCTGTTTCAGAATTGTTTATTAAGGATAAGTGACTGTGGCTGTCATCTTGAATTGTGATGTAATATTCTGGAAAGTCATGCCCAGTAATTCACTAGTGTTTTATCTTCTGTCTATCTTTTAAAGAAAAAAATGTATTTTTATACAGATAAAAAACTTTTTTAAAATCAAGGTCAAGTTCAGACAACATAATATCACCAATCGTCATAGTATGTGTGTGTGTACTTTCTGCATATTAATTCTAATTTCTTTTCCTCTCTTTCAGGGCAACCGGCTTTGGCTTTTTAAATGCACTCTGCAAAGCGGCAGCTGTTCTTGGAAACTTAATTTTTGGTTCTTTTGTTCTCATTGCCCAATCAGTACCTATTCTGTTGGCTTCTACAGTTTTAGTGTGTGGAGGTTTGGTAGGACTTCGACTCCCTGACACCAGAAGCCAAGTACTGATGTAATTTGAAATGGGTGGTGGATAAAAAAAAAGCCATTTATTTGCTTTCCTCTGTTTCTAAATGTCATTTCTTGGCTGGATGGGAGGAGGCTTCAGATTGTTGGTTCAAGAAAAGTAATTGCATAGAGAAGTTATACCCTCAAAATGAAACCACAGCAACAAAAAATTAAGAGACACACAAGAAAAGGGAAAGAAGAGTGAATTCAGTGGAGCCATTTGCCTCAGCATTGTGCATCTCATCAGTCCAGCCCTCTTAAGTTCACACCTGTGGAATTCCAATGAGTGGAGTCTACATGTGTCGTTCCCTCACACAGACCTTTGCAGATAAGAACTGTGGAGGAGCCTGTGTGCATGTAGATGCCCAAATTACATTTTTGAGAGAGGAGAAAGATGAAAATTATGGACTGGAACTGGCAGGAACATAAGATATTAGGGACAGAACAAATGGCCATTGTCAACTTACCCCTCAGTTTGTTTAATGAGTGCATAGAGATGTTTCTGAAGGCAGTTGCTACTAAAACAAAAACAAGTATAACCCCTGTAGCAGGGAGGGCCGGCCGGCAGTGCATCACTACGGGGTGGCTTGGCCGCCCTCGATTTGGCCTCCCGAGCCACCCCACAGTGATCGGGGCTGCCTGAGCACTGCGCAGACACCACAGGTGGGAGAAAGGGTCAGCAGGACCCGGGCTCTTGTGCTTTCAGGGGTATCCCTTATATTTCATGCTGAAAGAACAGTTGATGAAGCTGGCATAGTGGCTTCTATGAATATCCCACCTCTAATGTATATTCTTTGGAAGTCATAAAAATTAATACTATATTTTAAAAAGTAGATTAATATAAATAAATATTCAGCCCTTTCTTAGGAATAAATGTTAATCTAACAAAACTGTCTCCAGAACTCCTGTTTGTAGCCTAATTTGAATATAAATATGGACTGGCTAGGGAAGGTTGATCTAACACATATCATGAGACAAATTAGATTAAACTACATGATGGTACTTGAGCATAATTTCCTATATTCGTATAGGAAAAGATAAAAACCATGGCATTGTTTCTTTTGTAAACCACTATATAAATCACACACACACACACACACACACACACACACACACACACACACGGACAAGCAAAGATTTAGGCATGTGAAACCCTAGCCTGTTGTAACTGAATCTGTTTAAGATGAAAATAATAAATTATATCAGTGTGAGTCAGCAGTGTGCTACAGCTGCCAAAAAAGCCAATGCAGTCCTAGGCTGCATCAACAGAGGGATAATATCACAATCATGTAAAGTGATTGTAGACAAGAGCAACAAAAAATGATGAGGGAACTGAAGGCTAAAGCATACAATGCAGGAACTGGGTATGTCTAGTCTAACAAAGAGAAGGACTAGGGGTAACATGATAGCAGTCTTCCAATATTTGAGGGACTGTCACAGGGAAGAGGGGGTTGATCTATTCTCCAAAGCACCTGAAGGCAGGACAATAAGTAATGAATGGAAGCTTATCAAAGAGAGATCCACCCTAGAATTAAGGAGAAATTTCCTGACAATGAGAACACTTAATCAATGGAATAATTTTCCTCCAGAAGTTGTGGATCCTTTATCACTGGAGGTTTTAAAGAAAAGATTGAACAGTCATTTGTTCGGAATGGTATAAGGTCTCTTGTTTGAGCAGAGGGTTGACTAGAAGACCTCCAAAGTACCTTCCAATTCTATTATTCTGTATTTTGTAACTAAACTAACAAGATGATCTGAGTACAATTGAAATGTTTTTAAGGCATGTCATCCTTTTCAGAATGTTTTTAAAATTAAAATTATAGTATGGGAAAACAATGCCCCTCTATTGTTCTGATAACAATATAGATATATATACGGTATATGTAAGTGTGGTTAACAAAAAGAATTGATATACAAATTGAAGGATTTTTAAAGATAATTTTTAATCATCTATTTATAGATATAGCATAATGTTTTAGCCTAATAGAACAGGATCGCTGCTAAGCAGACAATGCAGGCCAGCATGTCATAGAATCAGAGTTGGAAGGCTTGATTTAGACCTTGAAATCCAGCCTCCTGCTCAATGCAAAAATTCAAATTAAAGCAAGTGAAAAAGATACAGTAGCTGACCAACTAAGGCAGTTTTTTCAAGCAGGTACCCTTCAAGACTATTGATTTACAACTTCCATAATCTTAAATCAATTCGCCATGCTATTTGGAAATTATGATAATTATAGTTCAGTACATTTGAAGGGAGACTTGTCAGGGAAAGCTATTTGAAGGGCTGCCTTTATATGGCCTGGTAGTCATACCTACATTTTGATAAAGGCATTTTAAGCAGATTGAACTAGTAACAGAGAGGTAAAGGTATAAAGATATCCCATTGGAAAAAAAATATCCTGTGTATTCTTACATGCATACAGTACATATAATTGCACCATAATTTAACACACTATCTTTCCAAATTCTGACTCATATTTTTCCCCCCAAAGAAATACATTAAGGTCAACCGGGGAAAAGTAGGTGTGCCTTAACTACTACATTCTAAATAAAACTGAGAAGATTTAGGCTGTTTTTTCTCTATGTGTGATCTGTAATCTTTACATTTTAAATTGTTTTTCAGTGCAGATATTTGTGTTCTAATACTGATTTATGCCAAGAATCCATACTAATTGTGTCCTAAGTTCGTAGAAAATCTTGACATTGTTGATGAATTTTGTAATTGTTATTGTCAGTTCAATATAGCTCTTAATATTTTCCTTTTGTTGTAATTTGGTTAACCTTCTTTAATCTTTTAACAGCTTTCTTTTCATTTGGAGGGAAGAAACTTTTAACCTGTGTTACCCTTAGGGAACACTTGAATACTTCTAGGTATGAAATCTGAAGCCTTGTACAGATTGGGGGTATTGATGAATCACCAGCTGTAAACCATGCTTTTGATATGCACTGTCCATATAGAATGATGTGTTTTGTCTGCTTCCTTCATGAATGTAATCACTTAAAATTATGGAGCCATAACTAAAACTTTAGAAGGAAATCCAAGCACCAGCTCCAGAGTAAGGCCAACATAATAAAATCTAATTATAGTTACAGTCATGTTACTTTTTCAGACTCTAATAATATTTTGACTCCAGACTGCATTTTTATTAATGATGTAAGCTTGGCCAAATTCAGGACACAACCTTGGCAAAATCTAGGCAAAAATAGAAAGTACACTTGGAAGATTAAAAGGAGGAAGTGCACAAAAATAACCAAAGACGTGTGTATTCATTTGTCTGAAACATATAACCTGTAATACTTGTAAATCCTTTTGTCTCTGTGACCACATTTCCCCACTTCCCTATCCGACTAGGGAATAGCAGGGTCCAAAGCATCAAAGACAGTGCAAAGATATAATGGGATGTGGCAGAAAGAAAGTTTGGGGAAAAAAGTTTGCTAAAAAAGAGTATACTACAGCAGTGCAATAGAGTTGTAAAGAAATGTGACCTACACAAATAACAGGCTGTGGCTAAGATTTATTTATTTACTTACTCAATAGACCACTCAACTCCATTGTGATGTTGCTAATGTTTGATTACTTATATTCATTAATATATGTAAAATAAATCTGCTTGAGCTGTGTTGTCATTTTTCATGTAGTGCTTAACTAACTTCCAATTCAAAAAGAAAGAGATGGAACTGTGGACATCTCTTTGTTGGTTCTTAGGTCACATGTGCCATCCCTCACTGAAGTTCACCTTCTCACCTACTCTTGAGATAATTTATATACTGTAAACACATAGGAAAGAAAATAAGAAATATTTGCTGTTTTTGTTTTTCCTGTCTTGCACAGAAGGTCAACAAATAGTGAAACTTTCCCTTGCAGAGAAACAAACATTCAAGATGACGTGATATGTCCACTACATGGCAGGTCTATAGAGTGTTTCTGTGAAAGTGGGAAGAGAAGAATTATTTGATTTGCTCTCCTCCAGACTGTCCTGAACATGGGGAAATATTGTCAGAAGCAAACATTTTGTACTTAGACTAAAGTAAGAATTGTGGGTTTTTTTAAAAAATCACAATTTTAGGATTCATTTAATTTTACATATAATTTTTGAATACTTTGTAAGGCTTCTGCTACCTCATCAGTCATCCTTCTATCTTATATTTGAACTGCAAATGGATAAAATGGCCAGCTTTCCTGTGTGTCATTATAGTCTTATTTTCCTTGGATGAAACATTTAAGTTTAGTTAATGGAAGAAACTCCAGACATCTTAAGCCTTGTCTTTACTTGGTGTGTAAGAACAGGGGACTCATTTGACTGGATTACACCATTGCTACTTTGATCTGATATTAAATAATCCATAGATGTTATTAAAGTACCAGTAACTTTATATGAATACATTTATTTATTATTTAAAAGACTTACTGTACACTTTTAAGTTAATGTTTATTGCTAGTTCACTATTGAAATGTGTCCCACTTTAATTCCTCTTTACTTCTCATAAGGGAAAAAGATGTGGATAGGTTATCTCATTTTCTTGTCATAGTTTCTTGTATTGTGGTTTGTTGAATAAAATATAAGCTGGGCTCAAACAAAGCAGTGGGCTATAAACAAAGGGTCATAAATAAATAGTCTTCTCCATGAGCAAGGGATTGATGTAGACTCTAGAAGATCTCCAAGGACCTTTCCAACTTTTATTCTGTTCTGTTATTTAACTAAGTATATGTGATGTCTTCAAGGACAACTGAGCGGAATAGTGGCTGGCAACACATCAAAATGTAAACAGGACAAAGACATGCATTTGATTAGAAAGATAAAATATATTTAATTTGACTTCATCTTGCATTCAAATTTGCAATTTAGTGAGAATTTTAGTGGGACTCCATATCTAAGGCTTTTAGGGAGCATCTGAAGTTTTCAAATCTCAGCTCATATAGTTTATTGGCCTGTTTTCTAAATCACTACTCTGCACAGTGCTTTTAGTACAATTCTTTTGAAGGAAAAACATCAGTTATGATTTCCTC